GCCATCCCTGGCTGCCACGGCTGCCTCGCTGCTGTCACGCCGCATGTGAAGACGTATCAATCATCAAATGTACATTGCGAATTGCTAATTGCTGATTTAAAAATGCCCCCTTCCGGACGCCAGACGCACAAAGTCATAACACACGTTCTGCCCCACGAGCTTCCGGATCGTTTCAACCGTCGTCCACGCTGAGACGTCCGCAATGCCATACGCTGTCCATCCCGCCGACGTCGCGATTGCCAACGGGTCGGCCTTTCGGGGCCCGCTGGCCAAGTCGACGAACACCTTGCCTGCAGCCTTCGTTCCTGTGCACCCATGTCCGTTGGGGCTTCCATTCCTTCCGCCAACCCTGTAGTGCTTCAGCAGGGGCACCACCAGTAGCGACTTCTCAGCAGGCAGAGCCGAGATGATAACGAATGGCTGCTGCAGGCGCTTCACATCCTCTACCGATCGTACCGGTGACACGTCAGTAGATAAGGGCCCGTGGGACTTGAACCCTATGGTATATATAGGCCCGATCCCTAGATTTTTCAGTGCGAATATCGACGCCGACGCATCAGCCTCGTTACTGGCGAGCAGCAATGCTGCCTGTCCACTGTACGCCGATGGGACAAAGTCGCGAGTCAGTGTCGCACGTATACCCTTCCACCGTGTGTTGTCTCCTATGAAGGAGGCGTTGCCGGTCCCGGGGGGCACTAACACTGTATCAACTTGTCCGATGGCCCGAGCAGCATTCGAAAGGGAAGGCAGGTACGGCGCCGAGGCTGCCAATGGCGGGTTGATGTAGGCACCGCCAAAGTTGTTGCGTCGGAGGATGTGCTCGATCGAAGCCTTCGGGGCTCTTTCTGCAAAACCGAATGAATGTGGCAGACTAAGCTCGTTGAAACACTTCTCAAAGAACATGGCTTGCGACGTTGATCGAAAACTGCCGATGCCGTAGATGTCCTGCTTAGGCATCTGGCCCATTGTGTGGAGCGCTGCGTTAATTTCGGCTGCGCTTAGTTGGCCAGGTGCCGCAATCATGGGTAACAGTGGATGAGTAATCGGGGTGAATATTTTGTTCAGCGTCCTTGATAGCTGGCCCATGGGGCCCATATTGAGGCCAGAGAAGGGAGGATGAGGATACTTGGCTTGAATAGTCGATCGGAAATATTCCAGCTCGTAGTTCTCCTGCATCGAATTGACCAGTGCGTACATCTTGACAATGTCCCCATACACCGCTCCCATCTCGAACAGGCGCTGTGTTTCAGGCGAGGTCCACTTGAAGCTGCCCGAAAAGTCGTGGAACGCCGAGATGATCTTGGTGCACGCCTTGTTCTCGGCCAGCTTCCTCCTAATCTCCTCTGGCAGCCACAATTCCACATCAATGTATTCGCAACCCCATTGTATCGCGCGCGCAAGGTATCGGTAGAACAGGGAGGGGTCGTCCATGGGGAACCGGCCATTTTCCTTGGTGCACCTCGTAGTGAAGATGATTGGCAGCTCCGTGCGTTGACGCAGCACCATGACTTGCTCGCCGACATACTTCAAGCTGGGTATCTTGCTGACCGTTCCATCTGGTAGGGGCTCCTCCAGCAGGTCGACTCGGATCTCGATGGCGTCCGCGCCGACCGACAGAATGTCAAGATTGGGAAGTGCAGCGTGCACATCGGGGAACGTCGTCGATATCAGCGTCGTGCGCGCCTTCTTGGTGAGGTCACGGTGGGGCCCGATCTGGCCCAGGACAAAAGAGAGGTATCGCGACACGTCGCGACGGAAAAAGGGCGCGCGCGTGTAGAGGTATTCGTAGTCGCATCGGTCGGTGATGCTCTCGTCCAGTTCATGACCGCCGTCCACTCGATGTGTGTTAATCAACAGCCTAGAGCGGTCCCAAGCGTCCAGTTGCGTTTTGGCCAGCCCGCTGCTTAGCCCGTAAACCGTCTCCCGTGGTCCTGCCAGCGCTTCGTCCATGGATGTCGCCGACTCCCATTTCTGGCCCAGGACATCCGCAAAGATGCCTACAATGTCCTCCTCGCCTTCATTATGCAGGATCAGCAGCGCCGGCCGGGCGCCGTTCGGGATCTCCTGCACGTCTATGACCGCGCCTTCCTTGAGACGGGAGGTGGTCACGCTCCCGGTTTGCACCATGGTGGCCATGGGTGAGTAGAGTTGTGCGCTGTTCTGCTTAGTAGTGTTAACCGTACGTGTTGAAGCCGTTGATGCGATGCTGGATCTCGGCGAGAATGCGACGGGCGGTATACAACTGGCGGACTCCGGCAACCGTCGCTACCATTTCCGAAACGTCGAAAAGTATGAGGCGGTGGTGGGGGCTGTGTCTGGAGAAATACAGACGTCTCAGACTGAGCGCTGTAGATTCATCCGTGGGGTGGTGGGATGCAGGACCAGGTCTGGATTTAATCGCGATGTGTGTGAGGTTTGAAGATAGTGAGATAGTACCATGTCAAGAGCAGATGGAAGCACCAAGCTTCCGTAAAACCCGCGCGTCTGTTGGCTCTAAAGCCGTCCTATGGCTGGACGGTGAATATGCCGTTAGGAAGGCCACTAGGCGTTGCTTGCTCGGGGCAGTAGGATAGTGAACGGACCAGCGCGGGCACCGTGGTGCGCTCGCCGATAGCTGGAGCTCGAATTTATCCGTAGACTCGCCATACCGTCGCAAAAGCCGCCAATTTCGCACCAATCACTTGATTTGCCATCAGTCAAGGTATTCGTGCGCCAAGTATATCACCTCCATCGCCTTCGTCTATTGCTGACGCGAATCTGTGGGGATTGGTGGAGAATGGGGGGTAGCGTCTGTCGTAGTGACATCCAAGGCCTGAGGCGACAACCGAATACCATATCTACGCCTCGAGGCTTGAAATGCCCAGCAACAACACCACAGATACGAGCTTGGTATTCGGATAGGCGTATATCGGTACTCCCCATAGGCGCACCGCTTGTGCGAGGCTGGCTCTGGAACTGCACGAGGCTGCACCCGCAGTACAGTGGAGGCGTCGCATCGCAAACTTCAGCCCTATCGGCTTAACCATGAGCGGCATCCCGCGCTCGAGAGTAGTGGAGTAATGGACCACCGGCGTATCTCGTGTAGAGACCTGTGCCCGCAATCTCTCGGAAAGAGCAGGAAATTTGCACAAGTGGTGTTATTACCCAGACATCGACCAGAAAACTGTGCATCCACTACAGCCATCGACAACCTCCGTGGACAGCATCGGCATCATGTTTCCTACACGCAGCTCAACATGTCATCAAAGGGCAGTACCGCAATATACCAACATTAGGCTCGGCACCAGTTGAGGCTCCGTTTCATCACTACGACTTTAGCCGGCAACCTGGAGGAGGCGTAGGTGCAGACGGTCTAACGAGACCTCGATCGCCTCGTCAACGTCGGGTTTGGATTTTCCGACACCAAAATGCAGTGCAACCTAGGTCCACCCCACCAGCTGGAGCATTACATCGTCGATATCTGATGACTAGCTCATCATGAGACTACTTTCTCGCGATCGGGACGTCACGAAGGCCGGGAATACGTTCAGGCCAGTATCGAGGCAGCGAGAGGGGTCGCTGCTCTTCGGGTCTTCGCGCAGTTTCGGCGAGATACCTATCAACCGCTGCTGCGAGGTGAAGCAGATTGATTGATTCACTTCGTTATTCTTCAGCCGTCCGGTCTCGTCCAGGTATCAGAACGGATAAATACAACGAGTTTCAAACATGAACGGGACGCCTTAGAACATCAGCCGTACTGCAATTTTCCGGTCAAAGGAATATATCTATTCGTGGCCACCAAGCAGGCTACCTTACAGCGTATCTCGAGAACGACGCAGCTTTTTAAGCTTCAGCAACCACCGGCAATCGGTCTTTCACATGGTACAATCTCTGAATGCGCCGTTTTCGTATTCCGAGCATGATGCAAATCGAGCATCCTTCTACGTGCAGCTCTCACCCGTACGCACGCTTGCGCCATACGAACAGTCACCACTGCCACGAGCCGTACCGAATCAGCCAAGGATATCTCATCTCTGTGGGATAGAACCGAGTAGGCTCATAGACACGTAGTTCGTCAAAAGGTTTGTTGTGCGATCTCAAAAAGGATGCCATTTCTCGTGTCCGGGTGTGCATACGCCACACTGTTGGTTGCTGTACACTGCATGGACTAGTCTGATCCGTTCAGAATTAGCTCGATCGATAAATCTAGCATAAGACTAACAGCTCGGGCATGCCCAGGTGGAGTGTGGTGATTCTCAGACGCGCCACACCATACGGTCATCCTACTCGCATCTTGGGAGTGAGCTCATTCGACAAGTGCCAACGCTAAACTTGCCTCTCAAAGATGCTTTTCCTCTGGAACATTTCAAATGGATCAAAACATGGAACGGTAACGGGTGTATATGTCAAGGATTTGTAAAGTCCTTCTCAGCTGGGTATCCGAGTCCATGTAACAGCTAATCTACCGCGCCCAGTCTCGCCAACACACTGGCTGCGTTCGGTCGATAATCTGGGTCGATCTCCAGCATGTCCTGTATGACATGAACAAGTTCCGTTTCAGTCGGCCCAAGCTCATCTAGAGCAGCCGAAACCGCCTCAGTTCTCGTCACATTCCCATCATCTACAGTGTAATAGCACCAAGCTATGCTCTCTTCCTCCACCCTGGAACGAAACTCCTTCAGATATTCCCAGCCTTTCCAATACCACACCAAAATGTCGAGGAAGACACATCCTAGCGACCAAACATCATGTGGGCGAGAGCTTGACCCGTTGTTGTATGTCTCCGGTGGTAGCGTAGGTGTGTTGCCTTTGATCTTCGACTTTGCACTACGTCCGAACGCGCTGAGATCCCCGCCATAGCCTGCGGAGCCGAAGTCCGTGAACTTCAGTCTGTGTTTCACGTCAGCGGCAGCATCGTTGAATACTAGGGTGTTGGTAGGCTTGATATCGTGATGGTGGTATGTCATATGACTGTGGACAACGTCTAGAGCACTCGCAAGGCCCCGGAGCTGTGCCAAAAGCTACTCACGATCCAGATCTTTCACAGCCCGGCGTTCAGGGAACTTCGCCATAAACTCGTCCAAATTACCAACCGCTAGCTCCGCGACGAGATATATCTTCTCCTCGAATACGAAACCAGTGTAGAACGTAGTGATGTGCTCGTGTGAGCCTGGAGAACGGGCCAAAGTCTCGAGGAAATCGCATTCCCGCTCAGCATCTTGCCGAAATTTGCTGACTTTGAGTGCAACGTATCTAGACAAGTCATTGGGGCCCGGAGCCTCCCGTAGAAAGGGAGCACAGCTGTTGTGAATTCTGGCTTTGTAGACTTTCCCTCCGGATCCCTCGCCAATATCGGGTTTGACAGCGCTGTTGTATTCAATCGGAATGGCACAACCCGTGAGATTGGCCCTGTATTGAGAGTCATGAAGCTCATGCACAACAAAGAGATATTGCGCGTCGCAAAGAGTACTGTAGACTGCGTCTGATTGTTCTTCGGTCGTTCCAAGCCAGTCGTCTGGCGAGAAGGGAAGGGCATCATCATTGTAGTTTGTCAAGACGAAAACCATGTCAGGTGGCGAGAGACCGCAGTAGATAGCGAGAGCAAACAAACGCTCACCGCCTGACCGGATCCTGTTCTTCAGTTCGTACACCGCGTTGGTGTCAAGCCCGGAGAAGTGGAAAATACCACTGACGCTGCTTGCAGAAGCAACTTCCCGAATGGTTGTCAACGGAAAGAATTTGAATGTCTTGTCGCCGAATTCTGCGGTGGTAGTGTTGGTGACCAGCCGGGTCCTACACGCTGCCATTATATCATTGTAGTCCTTTAGAGGCTTTCCCATGATGAAACAGGAGAGGTGAAAATAGAACAAGGAATGAGGTATTGAAGAGAAGATGCTTAGCATCCAGTGGGCTTCTTTATGACCTCTGTTATTCAACAATCACCAAACACCAAGTCTGCACTCATGGTGAGCTCACATGGATCTGAAGTGATTGTTGTTTGTGGGTGGATAAGAGTCTGGTTACGCAAGTGAAGGTGGTATTCCATTGAAGTACTGATTATGTGACCTGTTGGACGCTCGCGATCATAGAAAAGGATATTTACAGTGTAGGAGAGAAGTTGACGGGCCTATTACTCACAAGAGTCATGATCGCATGGAGGATATAGTATTCAAGTTGAAGATTTGTGAACCTGCCCTTGCCGTAAACCAGAGCTGCACGGACAAAGGAAACATCTCGGAATGAACGGGATGAGACTCACCATAAAAGTGTTTGATCTCTGAGCGACCTTCAAACCCGCATTTCCAAGAGTTCTCGACCTACTAAGTGCCCAAGAGGCTGCCCAGAGCAGTAACTACATCACTTACTCTGCTAGTATTCACCACGTCCACATGTAGCATTTGGTCGATGATATCGACCAGAGTCTTCCACTCAGCACCTCTATCGCCAATCTCTTCTATCTTCTGCTGCACGGTACGTGCAAGCTTCATCCCTCCTGGAGCAGTATCATTCCAACGGTATCGGTGCTGCTCCACGAAGTTACTCATCTTGACCTCACCCTCGTGGAACCATACGAGTACTTCGAGAAAGGCCAGCCCTAGGCACTCGATGGCACGAGATACTGCGATGTTCCAGCCACGAATGACCTCCGACGGTTTGTGTTCATTGTAGGTTCCAATAATCGACTCGTCGCTTGCTCGTTCGCTTGATGCTTCACTCGTTTCTTCATTCGATTCTCTAGCAGTCATTCTTGCATAACTCCAGCCGCAGAACTTCAGGGTGCTGTCTTGCAGGCTCATATCGTTCTTGGCAAAGACCAGGATGTTGTCGAGTCCGATGTTGCGGTAAAGCCCAGTATTACCTTTCGTAGTAGGCCCGTGTATCTTTGAGAGAGCATCTGCGAGGCCCATGAACTGACGAACAACCCAGTCATAGTCAAGACCTGCTTGAGCGCCGTCAGTATACTTTGTCATGAACTCCAAAAGGTTTCCTGAGCCGCGCTCGCTGACGACGTAATGTGCTGTCCTGAACTGAAAGCCAGTGTAGGAAGTCACAATATGTGGATGTGAGATGTTGTTATCGGCAAGCGCTTGGAGGAATTTGCGTTCAGTACCGCATTCGGTTGCGTGCGAATATGCTTGCTTGATGACGAGATCTTGGCCTGGGGGTAAAGGGAAATTAGTTCCGGGAAACATGATCAGCATCTCGTAGACGTTCGACCGTAAGCTATCGTATAGGCGACTTTTGACGGAGATAGGGACAGTGTGGGCTTCATCGATTTGCTGATGAAATCGTCCCTGTGCTGGCATCTGAGATAGACCTTCCAGCCGGAATTGGGCGCGGAGGAAGCTTGCGAGGGGGTAAGGTGAATTTGCAAATCCTGAGGTGAACCTCTTCTCTGCTATAGGAAGTTCAGAGTCCGTAACATGATCTTCTTCGAGCAACACCCGGAGATACTTCATTGAGATCCTGCCCAGAATGCAGATGACGAACACTCGTCTCCCTGATAGGATAATCTTGGTGATAAGACCATTTTTGGTATCGGAGCTACAGTCACTGAGGCTATCGTCGAACGAAATGACAGCTCTGATGTTCTCGTCGGAGGCGACTTGATTGATAGTATGCTGAGGAATGTATGCGAGTCTTGCTCCGCCGAAGTCATATTGTATAATGTTTCCACTGTCGCGGAGCCAATGGGAAGACCATGATGTTGCAGAGGAGTCCTGCCGGGGACAAAGACGCATGGGATGAAAAACCATGTGAGGATGAGGGTGGTAGAGGCCTACGAATCAGGTTCGGGTGAGCTTGGCAGTAATCTTATCGAACACTGCGAGGCCACACTCACTGTTGGTATACTTGGACAAGCTTATCAAGTGACCGTATTCCTCAAAAGTGCATAGCAGTTGACAATCGCAGGTGAGTAAAAGACGTGATCTGCCGGTCACACGCTGCTAACACACATGAGCGTTATGAGAGTAGCAAACCGAGTATTGATCAAGTAGATCAAGTTCGATGCTAACAACCGCGATTGCCAATATTTACCATGGGAATGGGGTGTCCAAATGACAGCTTGCAGCTTGTATACCGTTTTGCACATGCCCACGAAGGACGGCCGGATCTTGTCTTTCTAGATATGAGACGCATCACGAGGTCTTTTAGCGTGTCGAAGGCATGCCCTCTTTTGGAACGAACAGTGTGATGCAGACCACCTAATGGAAGTTGAAGCGACGGACTTCATCGTGGCGATAGTAGTGTCTACGTTCGCTAAGGTCTAACGGCGTTAGTCAACATGCACCTTGAGTCTAGCCTTAGGCTTATTGGCCATCGCGAAGCCCCAGTGTATAGATAATCGTTAGTGAGCTGACATTTCGTGAAAGGTACCTAGCGTAGATTAGCTGCCATGTGCTCTGCATGTTCACATCCTGGCTACTATTCGGTTGATACATAGAGGAGCCAAAGTGAAAAAGGACGAATGGGAGGTTGGTGATTCAGCGGCCTTGGCGTTGTGACCTCATCCAAAACTTCGGGTGCGGCGAACAGCGGAGGTGATCGCATCACCCGAACTTCTTCCCTACACGACTCCAACCACCCATGATGTTTGCAAGACGCGCAATTCCCTCGGTAAGCTCCTGAAACATACGTCTAATTCTCAATCCATTCTGACAGTCATCAGGCCTTCCGAGCCGCCACCCGCGCCAGCACAGCTCGACCCATCCCCTCGGCACGATTCCTCACACCGTTCCAAGCACGATTACTGTCCGATGAAGTCCGGTCTGCCATCGACAAGGCTGTCGCATCATCGCCTGTTGTTCTGTTCATGAAGGGTACACCAGAGACACCACAATGCGGCTTCTCGAGAGCCAGCATACAGATTTTGGGCATGCAAGGTGTAGATCCGGAGAAGTTCACAGCCTTCAACGTGCTGGAAGATCAGGATCTGAGGCAAGGTACGTTTTCACGGTTCCCACCCCGGTTTGGCCACCTGGCCGTAGGACTCGAGCCTGCGGCACATTTCGGGTGGCTGCAGGATGGGCAACGGGGCATTATATGCTGACAAATTCGAAAAGGTATCAAAGAATACTCCGAGTGGCCAACCATACCGCAACTATACGTTGACAAGGAGTTTGTCGGTGGCTGTGACATCCTGATGTCGATGCATCAAGATGGATCGCTTGCAAAGATGTTGGAAGAGAAGGGTGTAGTTGTGCCAGCCGAGGGACAGGCACCGTAAGAGGCAGATAATACAACGGCGAATATGAGAGGCGTATGGACTTTATGCCATACGGTATCACTTTGGTTGCGAATGTCTAGTCAGCTTCTGCCACCCGTGTAACAACTATATGTATACATACGAAGAGCAAGATACGCATCAAATTCATGGCTGGGATGCCTGATATACTCCAAATAACACACTATTCGAAGGGTAAATAACGATTTCCTGCCCTTACATGATGTGACTAATGTGAGCGCTCTTTCCTGTTGTCCCCACGCGCCTTCCTCAACGGAGCCGGAACATCCCACAAGCTTCGCGTCTGCCCCAAAGCTCGACTTCACCTCTCAGCACTCGCAACACGCCTTTGAAACCCCCAAGCACAGGTAATTTGAATGGAGGTCGAGCGCAGCGTACCTGAACTGCGGGCGCGCGGCAACATGGGCCCGCCGGCGAAGAAGACGGTATCTGCTGCTGCCGTTTTCAGAAACCAGGGTGCTTTCAGGGAACAAGGCAACATCACATGTCAGACGAATATCAGCAACTCCAAGTTCACCGGAGACGATGCTGACGCTACCACATTGCTGAGCGCCGGGTCTCACTCAAGCGTACGGAGTGTAGAGAAGAAAGGAGCAAGAAAGAGGTCTTCGAACATGCATCCTCTAGGCGTAGAGTTCAAAGGTACAGCTAAGCTCTTTCATGTGCTGAACGCAGACCGCTAATATCATACTGCACAGATGCCAGCGATAAGTACCGTCGCCACGTCTACAAGACTGCTTCTTCCAAAATCAACAAGACCCTCGAGAAGCTTCTTCATACTCTCTATGAAAGTACCCTGCAGACCGTTACTCGCAACAGTAACCAGCAGGATCCCAATATCTCGCCCCTTAAGATCTCTGCCCCAGCGAAGTACGAGCGCCTAGCCACTCAGCTCTACCAACCCATCTCTCAGTTCACTCTATCACTACGGCGCACTGATAGCGAGGGGAAGAGTGTACGTCTTGATCAGACACTTGAGACTCGCATGCTCCATTACGACGAGTTGATCACTAAGGAAACGGCTAAACTAGCGAAATTGCAGAAAGAGTGGGAAGTGGTCCTCGGCGAGATCTGGAAGCTAGGAGCTACATGCCTAGGCGAGGAAGCTATGGAACATATGCTATTCACCAAGCAGCCATCGGACGAATCGGCATTACCTGCTTCATCTTCGCCATCGAAAGTCACTGACGCCGAATCCACGCTCTTTGTCCCTGAACACGAGAGTTCCCCAGCACGCGACAAGTCTCGTACCAACAGGAAGCACGTTACCTTCCTCGAAGAAGGAGTATCAGCAGATGCCCGTAACAACAAAAACGCCGTCACCCCAACGACCATGTTTCCAAAGTTCATATACCAGCCCTCGAGGTATCGCAAGGACGCCCTGCCTCTTCCAACAAGGCTCCCTCATGATGACATCAAAAACCTAGAGATGGAGGTGAAAGAACTGGGCAGGCAGGAATTGAGTGACATGCGTGAGATTGAAAAGGAACATCAGGCATATTGGAAGAAGAAGACGGCACAGCTTGCTGTTGCGCTGAAGAGTGACTGAGTGTGCAGGCCAATGCGTGTTCGAGGGAGAAAATACCCACTCCA